AAAAAGCTTCTAGGAGGAAGGGGCTGAAGGTGGCTCCAAAGGCTGTTTTTGCTTCTGCTGTTGCCTGTGCACCCTTAGTTGGCTGCCAGTGCCACCAGATCCCACTCTTCTATTTTATTATTCCAGGTAGAACTTTTAAAATAATCTGTTTATTGTCTCATTAGGCAGGGCTGCCAGGAGTTTCCCGAACCATTCTGCACAATTTTGCATTATTTGCTGCTCTGTAACTCTTTTTGGAAACCTGGAAATCTGGATTTCCATTGACTACAGTCAACCTTGGGGCATGGAAATTCTGAATTTTAGAGGTTCACAAATTTCTTAAAAGTTCATCTCAAGCCACTGATCAAGCTTTTCAGAGGTTTGCTTATTTCTAATGTTGAGTGTGAACTTAAAGAAGAACTCCGGGATAGGCCAAAAAAATCACCCATTAGTACACCCCACCCTACACAAAACACTAAACAGTTAACAACATTTTGAAAATCCTTACCATTTATGAGAAAAGTCTAATTGAATTTTCATGAACTCATCTCTGTAATTCAAAAGAAAACAGCACCTGTTCTACCCAAGGAGGAGGTGTAATAGCCAGGATTACATCATATCCTCTCCTCCCTTTCTGCAGTAAAAGGAAACTATAGTTCCCATTAACCATGGGGAATTGTAGTGAATGTGGGTGGGTACACTAGACCTGTATATGTTGAATGTGTCTGAGAGTCCCAGCCTGCCCTCCAATGCAAGTGGGGCTGAATTAAATCACTGCTTCCTGGAGAAAAGAACTACAGAGGGGCAGTGACAAGACCAGTGGCTTGGGGAATCGAAGGCATCGCAGGCACTGGTCTTACAAACAGGAAACCAAAGAGAATTAATGGTTTGATTTGAAAATGAATAGCCTATTTCAGAGCAACTACTGAGTGAACCAGAAGATGGATGACATATTCAGTGAAAGTAATCAAGCAACAAGGACATGTAAAGAAGTTTTTGCCCAGACTGCCTTTCTAAAGCCTGAAGGTTTTTCACCGACATGCATTCTATGTATGAAGGTTAAAAAAAATCAGTGTGCAGCTCCCCCCCTCAGCCCCCCCCCCTCGTACTCACCTGAGCCCATTCCTGATCAAAAGGTGTACACGAGAGCAGAAGCTCTCCCGGGTCTCTGAGGTACAGCAGGGGGAACCATTGGCTCCCACTGCTGTCAGTCACAGCAAGTGAGGAGGGAGCGCGGGGCCAAGTCATGCTTTGTGTGTCTCATAGAGGACACACAGAGGCAGCTCGGGAGTGAGCACGCATAAGTGCCCCTAGAACAAGCTGTTTGCTCTGGGGGCACTCAACGGGAGGAAGCAGGGGGGCCTGGAGCGCCGGCTGGGGGACCCATAAAGAGGAGAATTGGGGCTGCTCTGTGCAAAACCACTGCGCAGAGAGCAGGTAAGTATGATATATTTGTTATTTTTTTTTAAATCAGACCCTTTACAATCACTTTAAGAACACCTAACATTTCCATAAAAAAACATAAAACTTTAAGAGAACCTGACACCAGATCATTAATTTCAATCTTCTCACTAGATTATATATGCATTTCACATAGTTTACGCATATTATTTACCTGTAATAGCCTCCATTTATTAGACATCCAAAAACCCTGAGTCTGCTGCTGGGTGCCTCCATCATGGATGTCAAAAACCCTAGCAGTGACTTAAGTGACCCTTTATAATATTTCCCTTCATTCCTCCCCGGCAGCTACATAAAAGGTTATGTAGGGATGTGAGGGGAGAGATGCTGGATCAGCACAGACAGTATTTAGACACTCCCAGAAGAGGAGAAGCCTACAACAAGTAAGAAGTCCTGACTGATCAGCATTTTATTTCCCCCCCCTCTCTGCCAATCGCTCCACTGGCTTCCACTTGCACAACGAATAAAATTCAAAATACTGACAACAACTTACAAAGCCATCCACAACTCTGCCCCCAGCTACATCACCAACCTGGTCACAAAATATCAACCAAACTGCTCTCTTCAATCCTCCCAAGACCTTCTGCTCTTTAGTTCCTGTGTCACCTCCTCCCATGCTCGCCTCCAGGACTTCTCCCGAGCTTATCCTATCCTATGGAACTTCCTACCCCAATCAGTTTGGCTATCTCGTAATCTATCCACCTTCAGACAATCCCTGAAAACATTTCTTGTTAAAGACGCCTATCCTGCTTTTAACTAGCAAACTGCCATTTATTTCCTCCATCAGCTCATCCCCCACAGCTATTACCTTTTGTATCACCCAAACCCTCCTCCTAGATTGTAAGCTCTAACGAGCCGGGCCCTCTGTTTCCTCTTGTACCAAATTGTATTGTAACTGTTATGTCTACCTTCATTTTGTAAAGCGTTGCGCAAACTGTTGGCGATATATAAAATCCTGTATTACAATATTAATAATAATACAATTTACTTAATCTAACTACTTAAAGCTGAGCTCCACCCAAAAGCAGACGTTCCGCTTTAAGCCTCTGTTCCCCGCTCCCCATGCGTAGTGGGCACCCGGCTGTGAAGCCGCAAGCTGTCACAGCCAAGTGCCCACATTGAAGATGCCGGCGCCGGGGAGAGAAGACGGCCAGTGAACCCAGCCGTTATGAGGACACCGCTGGACCAAGGGACAGGTAAGTGTCTGTAATTTAAAAGTCAGCAGCTACAGTTTTTGTTTAGATTTTTTTAAAGCTGAACTTCAAGTACAAAAACTTCCATTTAAATATATCCCTCAATAGACACAGAAGTTATATATCCACTTTGCTTTTACCAAAAAATGTTTGCAAACCCAGAAATTACCTGGTTAAAGTAGCAGTGACATCATCACTATGCTGTATGTAGCCTCCATAGAGAGCAGAACTGTGGGAGGGACCCAACAGGTCCAATCACTACAGTCTTCCTTCAGAAAGCTATATAGGAGAGGGCGGAGACAAGACCAGTCACCCTACACAAAGACACAGAGCAGCAGTGACCGGTCTTTATTACAGGAAGCTCCTGCACAGAGGTAAAGTTTAACACTGGATTACTGCACAGATCTGGAAGAAACACAAAGCACACCAAGATTCAAGCAAGAATACACTTGACTCTTTTATTTAGACAACTAAAACTAGCCCATGGCTCAGTTTTTCTCATTCAACCAGCGGGTTGAATGAAAAAAGAAACTGACTCAGTTGTCAAATGTGTGGATGGGGGAATCCTCCCTGCTGAGCTATTGTATTTTGACAGTGGGGAGACCTCCCTTCCATCAGAATACACTGATCAGCACTGCCGGCTGTAGCTTTTAGCGCTGATCAAGCAGGGAAAACCTGACAGGGTGGTTGTACAGAAGTCAGTTGTAAGATCGACGTCTGTACAATCTCAGTGCCCAAACATGGATCAAAATTCGGTTGGTCCTTGCTTGATCCATGTATAGCTAGCTTTAAGCCTCAGTCACACAGGGCATACTACAGCATTTGCCTCTGCAAGGCCATGTTTACCTGCACAGGCAAGGCCGTGGATAAGGAGGTACCACCAGTCCTCTTGTATGGGGCCCAGGCAGCTGGGAGAATCGGATGTGGGCAGGGAGGGTGATTACGGGAACTGATGCTCAGTATGGCTTTCTCTGCAGAATCTGAAAGCTGGGTTCTTCTCCTCTCCCTCCCGCTGGTTTTCAGCTGCTGCAGAGAAAGCCATACAGGGGATCAGTTCCGGTATTTTTTTTTTAAGGGGGTCCTGTCAGATTGGCTGTATGGGGCCCCATGGTTTCTAACAGCAGCCCTGCGCAGAGGGATGCAGATGTGTGTCATGTCTTCCCATGCAGGCAATCTCATTGATGTCAATTGGGATGCAGTGACTTGCAACTCCGGTTGTCAGTGGTGGCTGCAGGGGAGAGGAGGGAGTGTCGACAATGGACACTCCCAATTTCACATCCGCACAGGTGCATGTCCCTGAACACACACTGTGTGAATTCGGGGGGGGACACAGATGTCAATTAGGAATCAGCAGCTTTGTCATTGTCGACACTCCCTCCTCTCCCCTGACGCTGACTGACACCGGAGTTGGGGATCACATGACTATGGAATGGACTAAAAATATGTACGTACACAAATATTTTTTTTACGGCTTTTTTTCTGTTGGGTTAGAATTCTACTTTACCTAATCACTGCATTATAAACAGAACCTCCCAACTTTATATACAAGTCAGATTACTTGGATGGCAATAGAAGAATCAATTATAGCCAAAGTAGCTTGAACAAATAATAAACATTACATACAATGTTAATTATAATGAATTGTGTGCATAAAACACTGATATTAAATAATTGGAATTGAATGTTCTTCCTGGTTACTGTGCAGACAATGTTTGAGTATTCTTTATAACATGAACTTGTTAAATATTCAGTTCTGCTGTGGTTCAGTACATGTTTACCAGAGTATTTTGTCGGATTTGTAAGACATTCATTTTACTGTTCACCAGATTGTCATATCAAGTTTCCTATAAAAAGGTTAGCTCTATATCCAATCCAACACAGTGCTGAACTGCAAGGAGAAATGTTGGATTGCATAATCACAATGGTAAAGTCTCACAGACATTTCCCTGAATAAATGTATAAACTGCTTCTAAAGGGCCTATTTATAGTGGAAAGTAGATTCCTTTATGCATATATTCCGCAGTATTACACCTTACTGTAGTTTATAGCCCATTCATAAAATACAGACCATGGTGTAGAGCAATAGTATCAACTTTCTTGATATGGGGGGCCTCAAGTGCATCTCCCAACATCCCCACAGGGCAGCACATAAAATTATGTGAATATTCAGTCTCAGAGACAGTAGATGTACAACAGGGGCATGATACAAGAGATGGACAGAGACTGCAGACATGGTACAAGAGATGGACAGAGACTGCAGACATGGTACAAGAGATAGACAGAGACTGCAGACATGGTACAAGAGATGGACAGAGACTGCAGACATGATACAAGAGATGGACAGAGACTGCAGACTTGGTACAAGAGATGGACAGAGACTGCAGACATGGTACAAGAGATGGACAGAGACTGCAGACATGGTACAAGAGATGGACAGAGACTGCAGACATGGTACAAGAGATAGACAGAGACTGCAGACATGTACAAGAGATGGACAGAGACTGCAGACATGGTACAAGAGATGGACAGAGACTGCAGACATGGTACAAGAGATGGACAGATGCAGACATGGTACAAGAGATAGACAGAGACTGCAGACATGGTACAAGAGATGGACAGAGACTGCAGACATGGTACAAGAGATGGATAGAGACCGCAGACATGGTACAGATGGTCAGAGACTGCAGACATGGTACAAGAGATAGACAGAGACTGCAGACATGGTACAAGAGATGGACAGAGACTGCAGACATGGTACAAGAGATGGATAGAGACCGCAGACATGATACAAGAGACAGACAGAGACTGCATACATGATACAAGAGATGGACAGAGACTGCAGACAGGATACAAGAGATGGTCAGAGACTGCAGACAGGATACAAGAGATGGTCAGAGACTGCAGACATGGTACAAGAGATGGTCAGAGACTGCAGACATGATACAAGAGATGGACAGAGACTGCAGACATGATACAAGAGATGGTCAGAGACTGCAGACAGGGTACAAGAGATGGACAGAGACTGCAGACATGATACAAGAGATGGTCAGAGACTGCAGACATGGTACAAGAGATGGTCAGAGACTGCAGACATGATACAAGAGATGGACAGAGACTGCAGGCATGATACAAGAGATGGTCAGAGACTGCAGACATGATACAAGAGATGGACAGAGACTGCATACATGATACAAGAGATGGTCAGAGATTGCAGACATGATACAAGAGATGGACAGAGACTGCAGACATGATACAAGAGATGGACAGAGACTGCAGACATGATACAAGAGATGTTCAGAAACTGTAGACATGAAGCAAGAGATGGTAAGAGACTGTGGACATGAAGCAAGAGATTGCAAGAAACTGTGGTCATGAAGCAAGAGATGATCAGAGACTGTGTACAAGAAGCAAGAGTGGTCAGAGACTGTGGGCATGATACAAGAGATGGTCATCGACTGTGGGCATGATACAAGAGATGGTCAGAGACTGTGGACATGAAGCAAGAGATGGTCAGAGACTGCTGGCATAATACAAAAGATGATCATCGACTGAGGGCATGATACAAGAGATGATTAGACACTGTGGGCATGATACAAACATAGTCAGAGACCACGGCCAGGATACCAGAGACTGTGAATATAATACAAGAGATGGTCAGAGACTGCAGACAGTATTCAAGAGATGGTCAGCGAATGCAGGCATGATGCAAGAGATGATTAGAGACTGCGGGCATGATACAAGTGTTGGTTAGAGCATGGCCATGAAGCAAGAGATGATCAGAGACGGTGGGCATAAAGCAAGAGATGGTCAGAGACTGCAGGCATGATACAAGAAATAGTTAAAGACTGTGAGCACAATACAAGAGATGGTTAGAGACTGTGGTCATAAAGCAAGAGATGATCAGAGACTGTTGGCATGAAGCAAAAGATGGTCAGAGACTGCAGATATGATACAAAAGATGGTTAGAAACTGCAAGCATGATACAAGAGGTAGTCATAGACTGCTGGCACATGACAAGAGATGGTCTGAGACTGTGGGCATGATACAAGATATGGTCAGAGACTGCAGACATGATACAAGAGATGGTCAGAGATTATGGACAGGATAAAAGAAATGGTCAGAAACTATGGACATGATCCAAGAGATTGTCAGAGACTTTCTGGCATGATACAGGAGATGGTCAGAGATTTTGGACAGGATAAAATAAATGGTCAGAAACTATGGACACGATACAAGAGATTGTCAGAGACTTTCTGGCATATTGCAGGAGATGGTCAGAGACTATCTGGCATGATAGTGGAGACACATTACACAAGACTGCTAAAGATCACTATTATAAGAGAGCTTAGGGAAACACAAAGTAGTGTAGCAGGGGCCCCAAGAGCTGCACAAAAAGTGCAAAAGGGCCACAGGTTGGGCACCAGGGGTGTAGAGCCTGCGGTATGATGTCACTGATGCTCTGTGCTTAGCACAGCAGAGAGATGGATGAAGGATGCATGAGGAGAGGCTGGACATGTGTATTTTGGCAGGTCACATGGTTGGCTATCCTTTTTTGTTTCTCCTTCCTATATTAATTTCAATTGTACTTTGTTGGCTTTGGAGTCGGAGTCACAGTGGCAGAACTATAGCCATAGCAGCCCACGTGGCCAAAAGGTGGGAATAGGAGGGTTTTCTATGTTCTGACTTAAGATGGACAGTGCTAATGGAATCAATTTAAGACAAACAGGTGAATACCTGTATGAAAATTAGTTTACTTTCTAAAAAAATGTCTAAATCTATATCTTGTTATCAAGCACCCTAATCAAGCAGCACAGCCAGGTAGGAACTTGAGGGGGAATTTACTAAAACTGGAGAGTGCAAAATATGGTGCAATTTTGCATAGAAACCAATCAGCTTCCAGGTTTTATTGTCAATGCTTAAAGTGTTAAACTCAGGAAACTGCATTCACTATATCTGGTCCCCACAGTACACAGAACATGGAAATGCATACATTTTCATAAATATAAACTATTCAATACCTTTTCTCATCAGCAGTTAGAGCACTCTTGTGACTTCTATCAGTGTCTAGCAGAGCACTGGTTAAAACTTGTCGGCGGAGTTTTCTTTCTGCACTAGGAGGATGCAGAAACCCTGACCTCTGTTTGGACAGTCCTGATTGGCCCTGTGCTGATCACATGTACTCCCCCACGAAAAAGAAAACCTCTCCAGCAATGCACACCAAACTGAGCATGTACAGAGTGTCTCCACATGATATCAGGAGATAAGAGGGGGACACTGGAAGAAGGGGAGGATCAGAGAAGTCAGGATCAAACACCGTTTTTTACACAATGCAGGGGATTAACCCCTTAGGCTCCACAGTGAGGATATCAAGCATGCTTTACTGCATATACAGACTGATTTTACTGTTGTGGGTTTTAGTAACACTTTAATTGAATAAGCTGATTGGCTACCATACACAGCTGCAGCAGAATCTGAGTGTTCCAGTTTTAGTAAATCTCCCCCACTTTATATTCAGGTTTACCAATTCCTATACTATCATTCCAGGTCCAGCCTGCTGACTCCGTGGATCAGTATTACAACCTCAGTGCGGCAAACAGGCGGTCACCCCAAAAGCTGAACCAGGTGGTGATGATCTTCCTGGGTCTGCAGTTTTTGAAACTCCTCTTTCCTAAACAATAGATCTAAACCATAGCATTGCTAAACAATGGTGTAGCTTCACGCAATTAATGTAAGATCTTACATTTTACTGTACAGTCGCTTTGATTTCTTAAAATTTGAAAAAATTGTTTCTTGGAACCATGCCAACCTGAAGGCAATCTGCATAATGTTTGTTTCCAAAATATTCTCTGAAGTCTTTCTCCTGCTTCTCACAAAGTCTGCACAGAGCTAAAGTGAAATTAAAGGCATTCCCTGCAATAGGGCTTTCATTTTGGTGGATATCTTCAAAGAGTCGTCTAGCTAAAGAAATTCAGAGGCCAGAGGTTGTCTTATTGCAGGAGGCTGAAATAAATGCAGACCCTTCCACTTAGCAAATTGTTGGAGAAAGGACATGGTCTTACTTGGCCAAGTATACACCATCAGAAAATCGTTCAACAAATACCACTTTTGGAGCGTTCGTACAACAATCTGATCATTAGTACGCAGCTTTCATCTGAAATTATTCAAAGGGACAAGTACGAAAAATGTTCTCGTATTTCGCCAGCACCGCTTTCAGCGTAGAGGAGGGACAGCCAACAATGAATGCCCAGAGTAAACCTATGGGTGAAGTCACCACCCAGGCTCGTTGTCAGCCATCTTTCCTCTGCACTGAAGCTGGCGCTGGAGAGGTCATGTGACCGTAACGGAGCAACTTCAGAATAGGTACGTCTTTGATTTTATATGGTAGATAGAGTAGGCTTAGAATGGGGTAGGAGTAGATTTAGGCATAGCTAGGTTTTGACTTGCCTACCACTTTAACATGCTGGGATTAGTAGAGCTCCCGCTGTATATCATGGCCACTCCAGATGTAGGTGCTGTAAGTCCCATAGATTCCAGAACTGTGATCGTGTCTATGCCCCCGCCAGTCCTGACAATACAAAAACACGTGGACCCAGACTCCAGTATGTAGATGGTAAGGAAGATGGCGGGGAAACATGACTGCAGTGCTGGGGTCTATGCAGGGGTGGACTGACAACGCATGGGGCCCCCGGGCAATAGGGGATCATGGGATCCCTGTGTCCTCACCCACACTCAAACCACATCCAAAAAAGCCTATGAAAGGTACCAGGGGCATCTCATGGGGCCCCCTACTGACCCTGGGCCCTCAGACAGTGCCCGAATGGTCAGTCCACCCCTGGGTCTATGAGATTTCCAGCACTTACACCTGGAGCCAGGGCCATGGTTAAGGGGGTATCACCAGTCCTCCTGTACGGGTCCCAGTTCACCAGGGGGGCCCAGGCAGCTGGGTGAATCAGATGTGGGCAGGGAGGGTGATCACCACAATGGGGGGGATTACTGTAACAGATCTCCAGTATGGCTTTCCCTGCAGCAGCTGCAATCTGGCTTTCAGCTGCTGCAGAGAGAGCCATAGCGGGGATTGGTTCCAGTAATTGCACCCTGCTGCACCCATAACCCTTCCTGTGTACCATACGTTTCCCCATGCTGCCAAGGTCTCCCTGTGTGCCCCCACTGCGCTGCTGGCTTCCCTCCTCTCCTTTTCAGCGGCAGCTGCAAGCACACAATAGGATCTAACAGGATAGAGAGTGGGGGAAGGGTCTGGTAAATATGTCACATTTACCAGTTCATTTCTTTCCTGAATGAACACAATAAGCGATCGGTACCGATCACTCACTGTGTTCATTCATAACTGAAGCCTAGTAAACTGTGTTTATCTGAAATCTCACCTAAACTCCCCAACGGGGCTCCTGAAAAAGTTGTAAAAAATAAAAAAAATATAACAAAAAAAAAAAAACTACTGACACCAGTGACGGAACTACCAGGGTCACTTGCGACCAAGCCCTGGCATTCAGCCACTGGGCACAGAGAGAAGGGCTTCGGCCTAGGTCAGGGGGGCCTGTCATGGTTTCTTGCACTGGGCCCTGAAGGTTCTAGTTACGCTACTGATCAGGCCTGCTGCTCGGCACAGAACTCAGAAGCTAGTGGAGATCACTGGAGTACCGATGTGTATTTCAGTGCTTTCCAGCTTCCAGGGGCACTGGCCAGGTATGGTATATACATTCTTACAATGGTCCAAGCTGAATCAATGTATGTATGTATAAGATATCCATACCTAGAATTCCTCTAAAAGTTTCACTCATGAATAATAATCCTGAAACATTCTCCCTTCAGGTCTAACACGTGACCTCTGACTTTAACATACCTCATTCTCAGAAACAAATTCCAGCTTCCTTTCTACTCCCGTAAAAGTAAATAATTAAAAAAAATAGCCATTATAAGTGTCATGGGGATTCCGAACAGAGCAACAAGGCTTAGAGAATGCAGCAAGACGATGGAGACTGTATGACGGGGGGCAGACAGAAGAATTCCCTTAGCCTTTGTTCACGCTGATGCGGTGCGGAATTCGCAGTGGTTTCTGTGTGAATTCCGCACCGC